GGAAAGGAGCGAAGTATCTTGAAAAAGGTAATGCAGAAAAAGGAATATTAAAAGCACATTTTGTTGAAGAGGTTCTAAAGGGAGCTATGTCCTATCTTCAAGCAAATCATTTGGTCAAAGCTAAAGACGTAATTCAAGGAGTGCAACAGTTTATTGCTCAGGATAATACATTAAAAGATAAACGTGCCACAGCTGAACAATTGCTCAATGGAGCTTTTGGCTATCTTGAACAAGAGAAATCAGGGAAAGCGCAAAAAATAATCCAGGAAGCTATAGAGTATCTTCAAAACGACGAGGATGTCAAAGAAGCAAATAAAGTCTTTAAAGAAGCAGAAGCTAAAGAAGCTAAGTTGAGAGGAGTGAAGTATCTTGAAAATGATGAAAAGGAGAAAGTAGCAGCCGGAGTAAATAAAGCAAACCTTGTTGATTCGTTTCTGGAAGGAGCTTTAGCCTATCTTGAACAACACCAAGTGGCGAAAGCTATAGATATTATGCAGGGAATTGTACTGTATGTTGCTCAATCTGACGAAATAAAAGAAAAAGCAGCCGCTGCTGAAGAGATGATCCAAGGAGCTTTGACGTATCTTCAAGAGGACAAACTAGAGAAAGGTACGGAGATGATCCGTGAAGCTGCGAAGTATCTTGAAAATGACGAGGATTACAAAGCAGCAATTGGCAAGGGGAAAGGAGCGAAGTATCTTGAAAAAGGTAATGCAGAAAAAGGAATATTAAAAGCACATTTTGTTGAAGAGGTTCTAAAGGGAGCTATGTCCTATCTTCAAGCAAATCATTTGGTCAAAGCTAAAGACGTAATTCAAGGAGTGCAACAGTTTATTGCTCAGGATAATACATTAAAAGATAAACGTGCCACAGCTGAACAATTGCTCAATGGAGCTTTTGGCTATCTTGAACAAGAGAAATCAGGGAAAGCGCAAAAAATAATCCAAGAAGCCATAGAGTATCTTCAAAACGATGAGGATGTCAAAGCAGCAAATAAAGTCTTTAAAGAAGCAGAAGCTAAGGCAGCTAAGGCGACAGGAAGGAAGCATTCTAAAACAAACAATGGAGCTAAACATGATGGTTCAGAGCTCTAAAGTACTTACAGCTACCTGATTGCATGTTAGCCCCATGAAGCCATGTGTGATCAGTTTATGTTATTTCTTGTTTCCACATACTGTGCCCTTTAAGGCATTATTTTCCCATATTTTGGATCTTGTATTGTTCTTTTGTTCCTTGAAAAGGAGCTGCAGGAGCAAAAGCGGTATTTAGGTTTCCTTTTGTATTTTCCCGTATTTTTCTCTGTTTTGTTGAACGGGAATTTTTTGTATTTGTAATGAGTATATTCATAGCTCGAATAAAGTGATTGTGATGTGTTTATATCCAAATCATATTGAACATGCATCTGAGCCTGCAATATTCAAATTATTTAGGCTTACGGTTAAGTTTTGCAGTACTTAGGCTTACGGTTAAGTTTTGCAGTACCTGCTTCTACTTTTTGTTTACAATTTTCCTGCTGTCCCCCGAGTCCTTCAAATTCATGTCAATTAGAACAATAAGAAAGACTTTGAATCAGAGTTGCATTTTGACTTCAAAAAGATTGTATTGTATGTTCAGATATTCTGAAATGAGTGACAAAATGTAAGTACCTGTGACCGCTTGGTTGTTTCACTCATGAGATTCATTTCTGAAATTCATTTTAAGTTTCAGTTTTTGGGTCACTCGTTGAGCAATGTAATGGTTTTTTCTTAGATTACATTATAATCTAGGATCTGTTGTTTCCAATGGCATTTGAACCTAGTTAAAATTCCACTCTACCCTTGTACTTGCAATACGGCTTCAATCAGAACTCATGATGATTTTCAAATACTAGTTAAAATTTTAAAACAAAGTTGTGAATTTCCTCAACAACAAAAAATGTTGGGAAAGTTTTTGTGAATCTTATAATACTTGTAATAACTTGACGGTTTATAACTTCTTGTCCAAGGAAACAAAAGTGCACTGCACAGAAACTTGTCCACTTCAACATTCGAGACGAGAAACATCACCATGAAATTAAGAGCTAATTGGTAAACAATGCTTCGTAAATCTGATTTGTTGCTCATGTGACTCTTTTTATGGTGTTTTCGACTTGTTCACTCTCATCTCTCTTCCATGGCTTTTCTCTTTTCCTTTCTTTCTCTTGTTCTCTCTTCTATTTCGTGTGCAAAATGAGAAGTGCACTCTTGTTTCTCAATAAAAATTTATGCGTGACTGTGGAAAATGTGATTGTGATTCGCACAATGTACCATAAATACTCGTATTGTACACGTATGTAGGTATTTTTCATGTTTAATACATTTATTTTTTACAAAATTTTAAATAATACATACAAAATTTATGTATTATACACATAATACTCATATATTATTGAATAAAAATTAAAATATTTAAAATATTTAAATACAAATTATTCACTAAGTAAATAATAATTAAAACGTAACTACTAATTAATGTAATTAAAAAAGAGAAATTCAGATTATGCTGTTTACATAATATAGCCGTGCGGCTTTAGTGTTGAAATATTCTATTTATAGCGTATAGCCACCCGGCTATACTATTTTTGCAAAAACACACTCTTTGCGCTTGGCGGGTGATTCTATTTTTTAATATAAATAGTATAGCCGCCCGGCTATACGCTTTGCACAAATACTGCTATTTATTTATTTATTTTTTTAATAATCGTTTTTCTCCAATTTTTGTTTGGTAGTTTAGAGCATTATCCATTACTATTAGGTCATTACCCATGTCTCTATTGTCCCTTTTTGTGTTTTTTACTTTTTAGAGTTTTTACCCGTATAAATAATTTAGCATTTTCACATTTAATACTCATATTGTACATGTATGGACGTATTTTTCATATTTAATACACTTGATTTTTACAAAATTTTCAATATTACACACAAAATTTATTTATTTTATACGGTATAGCCGCACAGCTATATAAGCGCTGCAGGTCCTTCTTTTGTTTTTAATAACTACAATAGCCGCTATACTCTTTACACAATTACTGTGATCCTTTTTTTTTTATGTGTAAAATAATTATTTTTCTCATATTTTTGTTTATCAATAAGAGTAGTTTAGAGCACTATACATTACTATTAAGCCATTATCCTAGTCTCTATTGCCCCCTTTTGAGTTTTTACTTTTCTAGAGTTATTACCTGTATAAAGAATTTAGCATTTTCTCATTTAAACTCATATTGTACATGCACGTAAGTATTTTTCATGTTTATACACTTGTTTTTTTACAAAATTCACATATTATACACATAATACTCACATATTATTGAAATAAAATAAATTTTAATAAAATATTAAATACTAATTATTCACTAAGTAAATAATAATTAAAGTAATTAAAAAAGAGAGATTGGCGGCTATACGTTTAAGAAAATTCTATTTATAGAGTATAGCCACGTGGCTATACGTTTTTTACAAAAACATCCACTCAGCGTTGGGCGGGTCTTTTTTACTGTTTTGTAAATAGCTATACTCTAGTTTTGTTTAATAAAAATGAGTATAGCCGTGGAGCTATACTCTTTTCACAAAAACACATGCTAAGCGCTGGGCGGGTCCTTTTTTTTTTTTTTTTCATATATAGCAGTTCCATTTGTTTTTTGGGAAATGACCCTCACTACCACCCCTTTGTTAATATTAACTAAAAATACCACCCATTCCCAATTTTTGTAAAACTATAACCTATAAATATAACATTATTGGCCACTTATTGCTGATTTATTACAAGTTCATAAATTTTGTTCTCTCTCAGCTCTGTCTCTGTCTCTCTCTCTCTCTGTCTCTCTCTCTCTCTCTCTCTCTCTCTCTCTCT